GATTTTGAATCCTTGATGCTTTTGCCTCTACCTCTCCTAGCATCTTAGGTTCATGTCACCATGCCCAGTCTTATTCCTTTAAGAAAACAGTATAGCCGGGCGTTGGTGGCGCACGCCTTTAATCCTAGCACTCGGGAGGCAGAGGCAGGTGGATCTCTGTGAGTTTGAGACCAGCCTGGTCTACAAGAGCTAGTTCCAGGACAGCCTCCAAAGCTGCAGAGAAACCCTGTCTCAGAAAAAAAAAAAGAAAGAAAATAATATAACCAGATGCTGAAGACACGAAAAAGGGAAAAAATGAGCAATGAGTCCCATTTTACTGCCCATCAAATCTCTCCCAGGAAAGGAAGAAATTACAGCTGGTCTCTGATAGACTCAAGTCTATGGTTAAAACTTAACTGGCCTCCATCTCTCAACTTGTTACTTCTTGTCCTCCCTGGAGGCAAGAAGATAAATTCCCTCTGCTCTTCCCAGGCAGGCAGGAATGAAGATTCTGTTTACAAAGTACTTAATTAGCTGGTGATATTACTCATCTTAATTTGAGCGAATTAGCTTCAAACTCATCCGCTGAAGGACTACTGGTCTACCCTTGTTATGTAATACAGCCAAGTTCAGAGTTCAGTTTATGATAGAAAAGAATAGATCAACTAAACTCTTCCAAGGTGAAACTGTAGTCTGCGTCCTAATACTTGCCACACATAGTGCCTTTCTGTTGGCCATTTCTCCATCCAGTCAGGGGTGGACAATCATTGCCAATTCATCTCCTTTACCAGGAAGAAACTGTCTTATTTGATGGACAGCTGGTGATGTTATCTTCATACTTTAAAGCATTACACTAATGCTAGGAGAGCTGTCTCAGTGGTTAAGAGACTACTTCTCTTCTATAGGACTCAGCACCCACCTTGGATAATTCACAACTGCCTTAACTCCAGCTCCAGGGGAATTTGAGACCTCTGTTCTCCATAGGCATCTGCATTTATATGCACACAAACACACAGATGAAAATAATCAGTCTTTTAAAAATACCTTATTAGCCGGGCGTTGGTGGCGCACGCCTTTAATCCCAGCACTCGGGAGGCAGAGGCAGGTGGATCTCTGTGAGTTCGAGACCAGCCTGGACTACAAGAGCTAGTTCCAGGACAGCCTCCAAAGCCACAGAGAAACCCTGTCTCGAAAAACCAAAAAAAAAAAACTTATTTGCTTATTATTATTTTTTTGAGACAGGGTTTCTCTGTAGCTTTGGAGCCTGTCTTTGCACTTACTCTGTAGACTTGGCTGGCCTCAAACTCACAAAGATCCTCCTGCCTCTGTCCCCGGGGTGCTAGGATTAAAGGTGTGTGCCACCACTGCCCAGCTCTTATTTACTTATTTTTGAAACAGAGTCTCTCTGTATAGTCCTATCCTGAAACTCACTAAATGGATCAGGCTGTCCTGTTACAGAGACCCTCCTGTCTCTGCCTCCCAAGTGCTGGAGTTGAAGGTGTGGGCCACCACACCTGATCCCCTCCCTTATATTTAAAAGTAAAAGTTATTACGTGTCTTGGTGTATATGTTTCTGTGTATGGTGACATGCATGTGCCACTGCATATATGTAGAAGCCAGAAAACAGCTCTCAGTAGTTACTTCTTTCCTTCTATGTAGTATGTCCTGGGGATTGAACTCAGGTTGTTGGGCTTGGTGGCAACCACCTTTACCCACTGAGACATCTTGCTGGCCTCAGTTTTAATTTGTGGTTAGCTACGATAGTTACAGTGCTTCTGCACAAGTAACATGAATAAGGCACCTGGCTATCTGCTTTCTCTAGAAAAAAACAGTGCTTGGATCCTATGCAAAAGATAAGCACCCCAGGAGTTAAGAACTTCTAGCTGGGCTCAGTGGCACAAGCCTTTAATCCAGACACTCAGAAGGTAGAGACAGGCAGAACTCTGAGTTCAAGGCTAGCTTAGAATACAGGGCAAGGGACAGCCAGGGCTACACTGAGATACACTATCTCCAGAACACAGATGAATGGAGCTTGGTGTTGCCTTTCAATCAAAAGAAGTGTTGTTTATTGATGTCTTCCTCCTAGAGCTATGGAAATGAAGTTGTAAAGCCTTTTTATTTTTTTTATTTTTTGAGACAGGGTTTCTCTGTATTGTTTTAGAGCCTGTCCCGGAACTCACTCTGTAGACCAGGCTGGCCTCGAACTCACAGAGATCCGTCTGCCTCTGCCTCCCGAGTGCTGGGACTAAAGGCGTGCGCCACCAACGCCTGGCACTGTAGAGCCTTTTAATAGTTGCTATGCTACCAGTCAATCTCAGGATAGATAAATAAAAGTTTTCCATCTCCTTTCACTCCCAAACTCTAGGATTGGTAAATAGATGGTAATTAGATGAGTAGCATTCATTTCAGTACCATTTTCCTGTTTGTGACTTTTAACACTCTGGAGTAGTTAGGACCAAAGTGGTTGTCATTTGGAAGGTTAAAAGGGATTAATTAAAAGGGAGGGGGAGGAGGTAAAGACGGGTGTTTAGAGGAGTTGGACTCAGTGTACAATGTCCTTACATAGTAATGTCCTTACATAACAATTAACATACTCATTTCTTTTACAATTATTTCTTTTTTGTTGCTGTTGTTGAAGGGCATGGGGGCATTGTATGTGTGTACCACAGCTGGAGGACACTTTTCTTAAGTTGGTTTTTCTGTCCACCACATAGGTTTTAGGAATCAAACTCAGGTCAGAGGGCTTGTGGTGGCAAGTGTCCTTATTCACTGAGCTAACATCTCACAGGCCCTCATTGAAAAGATAGAATTAGCTGTGCATTTGTGGCCCATGACTTTAATCTTAGCACTCAGGAGGCAGTGGCAGGTGGATCTCTGAGTTCGAGGTCACCCTGGTCTATAGAGTAAGTTCCAGGACAGCTAAGCCAGAGCTATATAGAAATACCCTGTTTCAAACAACAAACATAAAAACAAAGAATTAAGAAACAAACGAATAAAGACTTAGACACCGGAAGGAAGCTGGTTTGCCGAGGTCACCTGGCAGGTGCAGTGGAGGGTGCTGGCTGAAACGACCTGCCATCTCATGGGCTCATTCATTCCCCACATCTGGGGGCCGGAACCATTCCTTCTAGCAGCTACCCACTGTGAGAAGACCAGTCAGAGAGGAGGACAGACACAGACACAAATCATTGCAAAACTATGGAGATTCTCAGAGAAGGCCTACTGGACGCAGTGGGGTGGCGTGGACACGGGGGCGGGGAGAATCTTTCTGGAGGAAGGGACCGCACTAAGAGACCTAGCTTCAGAACTGCTCAGAAGTTGAGATAGTGGGATACTGTTCATATCTATTCTAAGAATTTAGTAGACAATTCAGCTAGTGTCTTCCTTAGGGCTTCTATTGCTATGGTAAGTCACCATGACTGAAAACAATGTAGGGAGGAAAGGTTTCTCTGTGTAACAGTTCTGGCTGTTCTGGAACTCACTTTGTAGTTTGCACTCAGGCTGCCTCTACCTCCTGAGTGCTGGGACTAGAGGCCTGTGCCACCACTGCCTGGCCCAGCCAGAAGACTGATCCTGAGAGTATGTGTGCTTCCTGAGAGTAGGTGGTCTTGTCAGAGTTCACCCCTGAGGTTCTCAAAAACCTCTGGAATCATAAGTAATTTGGGGGGAGGGGTTTGAGACAGGGTTTCTTTGTGTAGCCTTGGCTGTCCTGGAACTAACTCTGGAGACCAGGCTGGGATCAAAGGCGTGTGCCACCCCTGCCCATCGTAATTTTTTCTTCATAACTCCTTAACCTATATTAAGATTAAACTGTTGGGCTGGGTGGTCAAGGGCTGGGACTACAGGTGCTTACCATCATGCCCAGTTTATTGGGTGCTGGGATTAAATTTAAGTCTTCAGGCGTTTGAGCCAAAGCACTGTACCAATTGAGCTACAACTCCAGTCCATGAGTTGGGCTTTTTGTTTTTCTTTCTTTCTTTCTTTTTTTAAAGGCATGTGTCACCACTGCCTGGCTTTCTTTCTTTTTAAAATTTATTTATTCTTATTTTTGTATACATTGGTGTTTTGTCTGCATGTATGTCTGAGTGAGGGTGTCAAATCTTGGAGTTAGTTTTTAGCTGCCATGTGGGTGCTGGGAATTGAACCTGGGTCTTCTGGAAGAGCAGTCAGTGCTCTTAATTTCTGACCCATCTCTCCAGAACCCCCAAGTTGAACTTTTTGATATAGGAAATAGAATTTGAGGAGAAGAGTTAGGTAATCTTAGCTTTATCACTTAATAACCTTGGGCCAGTATTTTAAACACCCTTGTTTCCATTTATGTAGATTGAGGTTAATATTTCCTACCTTGAGAGATTGCCATGCAAATCAGAGCTATGTTGTATAAGATTCCTGGCACGGTGGGCTGGTACACAGCAGGTACTCAATTTTACCAGGTAATAATCACAAATTAACTAGGGCAAAGCACTTAAAATCATTTATATAGAATTTGGTTGGTGTGCCTCGATGGAGCGTACACAGCGTCTTGGAAATTAGGACAGAGTTCAATTTTACCCCTAGACCCCAGGCAGCTTTTCTGTGTGTGACTGAACTCAGCACACTCGCCCACTGAGCAACACCACTAGTCCTTCTCCCCCAGCTTTTGATGAGGCTCTTACTTAATGACCAGCTAGCAGAACTCCACATATAATGAATATACGATATGATCTTGGCTAATTACTGCATACAGCTGGCTTCCTGCGGTGTGTGTCAGATTTGATTGGGTTTTGGTTTTGAGTGTGGGGACATTGGTGTGGGACAAGCGTGTGTACGAACCTACACCATGGAACCATGCAGATGCCTGGCTCCTGTGCGGCTGGCCTCAGGTCTCATGACATCTTGGTTACAGCATGCCTCTCTCCAAACTACAAGCTGGCACTGCGTTGCTCACATCTGTTTGACTGCATACCGTACAGAATTGGACACAGCAAATATTCAGTAAATATTTGTTACATAGATAAATTGGAAACTGTGGAGACATATGCTGCTCTTCAGATGTGTATTTGTCTGTGTATGTGACTCACTTTTCTCCCCATTCTTGGGGCCAGTTTTCCAAGTAGCCTGTCAATTGAGTCACATCTAATTGCTGCTCAGCCGTTTTGCTGGATCCTTGGTCTAACTGCTGTCCCAAGGCAGTCTAGGATGGAAATATTCTATTCTGTATTATGCAGTACAAGGCCACTGGCTATGGAGGACACTGAAAAGGGCTGAGTGACTGCAGAATGAATTTTAGATTTTTTAAAAATTAATTGATTTAAATAGCCACAAGTGACTAGTGGCTATTGTATTGGCCAACTCTAGCTTACAGTCTCTTGCAGAGGAATGGTGAGAGAAGATCTCTTGTAGGTCACACTAGCTTAAACTCACTATGTGTCTGAGGCTGCCTTGAAGTTTTGCTCCTCCTGTTTCTACCCCTCCCCCTCCAAGGGCTGGAATTCTAGATGGTTCTATAGTCTCTCATGTTGGCCATCTTTTGTGCTTTTCTATACCACAATCATCTAGTAGATGACAGACAATCCTTTCTAATGCTGTTTATAGTTGCAAGGCTTCCCTGGTAGTCTTAAATCACCTTTTGAAAGGATAAACCTTCTTGAAAGATTTATTTTCATTTATGTGCATGTATGTGAGTGTATACCATGTATGTGAGGTGTGCCTGTAGAGGATTTCAGATCCTTTGGAGTTATAAGCAGCTGTGAGCTGCCCAATGTGGGTACTGGGAATTGAACTTGGGTCCTTTTGGAAGAACAATAATTGCTTTTAACCAATGAGCTATCTTCACCAAGCTAACCCTTCAGCACCCACTTTCTAAGTTCTTTATTTAGTACTTGGGAGCCAGAGACAGGTGAATATGAGTCTGAGACCAAACTGGTCTACATAGCTAGTTCTGGACCAGCTACATTGAGATCCTGTCTGAAAAGCAAGCAAACAAGAAAACATATATATGAATACACACACATATATAAGGATACAGTTCAGGGGAAAGGTGTGAGGCCCTAGGTTTGCTCTCTCACTTCTACACATCAATTTAAACATGTGTATATAAGTTACTCATGTGTGTAACTACATACACACAAGTCCAGTAAAACAGTCACTATTTAGAGTTTTCAGGAGGTAAAATAAAATGTGGAGTGGCAGCTATGTTTAAAAGATGAACAGTTCTCTGAGCACTGAGAAAAACTGTTTCCCTTTCCAGGGCAGCACAAAGGACGAGAGCAGTGCTGCTGAGGCTATGAAGACCTCAGCTTCCTGGACCACGGGGAACGGGTGGAGAGGGTCCACTGCCCCACTGAACACTACACGTCTGCAAACCCCTTGCATATGAATCTGTGGATCCTTCTGCTGCACATCTAAAATTATATTTCACACTCATTACTGAAATCAACACTATTCTAAGAATGGTTGTTAATAATAAATAAATGTGGTCCTATTGGCTATAGAAACTTTCTTAGTTTAGCAGGGTTTTATAGCAATGTGACCCTGGATGGCTTCAAACTTACTGAGATCTGTTGGCCTCTGCCTCCTGAGTACTGGGATTAAATGTGTCCAAGACCACATCCAGCTGCAGTTTAATTTTTCACGAGTTAGATGGAGATCCTTTACATGTCATTGATATTTAAAAAATGTAAATATCTGCCTGGTGGTGATGGCTCATGCCTTTGATCCCAGCACTCGGGAAGCAGAGGCAGATGGATCTCTGTGAGTTCAAGGCCAGCCTGGTCTACAGAGTGCCAGGGCAGGCTCCAAAGCCACAGAGAAACCCTGTCTTAAAGAAAAAAAAAGCAAATATCTGAGAGCACATAAAACCACATTAATAAAATTGTATACTGTCTAATTAAGGGACTAATAATTCAGTTTATGAACTTGTACTCTCTATAGTTATCTTCCATTTTTGAACAAGAGTTTAAAATTCTAGTTTGTGTTTATTTATAAGCTTAAGAAACCTTAATTTTGAGGGCTGCCCCACCACCTCATCTAACTTGAGAACTACCAGACTGTACTAGTTCATTGATTTCAACTCAAATCATTTCACAGATTCTGATACTTCCTACTTACTCATGACTCCAGAGTAAGACAAAATGCTTTTTAAAAATGATTTCATCAGAGTGTGGTGGTGAATGCCTTTAATCCCAGTACTCAGGAGGAAGAGGCAGGAGGATCTCAGCTAGCCTGGACTATAAATTGAGCTCCAGGATAGCCAGGGTTAATTAGAGACTCTGTCTCAAAAAACAAAACAAACAAAAACAATCAACCAAATAAATCATTTTATTAACAGGTTAAATTATATTAGCTAAATAGGATAAACTTCATTTCTATACCTCCAAGTTTCAGATGCACAAAAAGAAGACAGAGCCAACCATAGCTTTACTGCCAGAGCACTGAACCATGTCCTTGGTTTTGTAGAGACAGGGTCTCAGGTAGCCCAGATTGGCTTTGAACTCTATGTAGCCAAAGATGACACACACACACACACTTTTTCCTTTTTGGTTTTTTTTGAGACACAGTATCTTTATTTAGCCTTGACTGTCCTGGAAATAGCTCCGTACACCAGGCTGGTCTGGAACTCAGAGATCTGCTTGCCTCTGCCTCCTGAGTGCTAGGATTAAAGGCATGGGCTACCACTGCCTAAATTCACCCCCCCCCCTTTTGGTTTTTCCAGACAGGGTTTCTCTGTGGCTTTGAAGGCTGTCCTGGAGCTAGCTCTAGTAGACCAGGCTGGTTTTGAACTCAGAGATCTGCCTGCCTCTGCCTCCTGAGTGCTGGGATTAAAGGCGTGTGCCACCACCACCCCGACTGATTGAATTCTTGATCATCTTGCCTGCATCTCCCAAGTGTTGTGATGTATCATCAGACTCAGTTTAGGCACAATTTATACAGGATGGCCCCTGTGTAGAAAATAAATTCTATTTCTACCTAAATAGCAACTTTTTTTTGAGATGGGGTCTGTTTGACTATGAAGCCCAAAGTGGCCTGGACTTTACTATGTAGCCCTGGCTGGCTTTCAACTCTTGATACTTCTGCCTCAGTCTAACAAGTGTAGGACTACAAGTGTGTAGACAATTCAGTGTGTGTATGAAAAGGCAGAGAGAGAATCAAAGTGCATAACTTAGCTGGATGTTGCTCTTATGGTTAACTAAGGGATCTCCAAGTTAAAGGACCAGATCTGACGCGGGACAGACTCAAGTCCTTCCTGTAACTCTAGGGGAAACTTCCACGCCATTCTAAGGGGTCACTAGTAAAGACAGCGAGAAATGCACAAGGCCCACTCTGTATGCTGTGCAGCACCGAGCAGCAGAGCAAGCCCTTACACCACTGGATATGGAAGAGACAAAAGAAACGCTCTGGCCTCGCCCTTGCGGAACTTAAAAGTCGGATTGACAACGCAGGACTTGTAAAAATTAAATCGTAATTAAATAGAGGAAAAAAAACCACGGAAAACTACCCCTGTCTAACAACCGCTTATTTGTGCTCTACAGAGCAGCAGCGGAAACTTGAAGGAGTTTTAAAGCAAGAGCCGGAGGGACAGACAAAAAAAGACAAACTAAGATGGAAGAAAGGAGGGTGTCCTCCAGGGGGAAATGCCAGGTGAGGACCGAAGGCGGGTGGAGGAGAGCCTCCTCCGGGCCACAGAGGCAGAGCGCCAGTGGAGCGCGGCCACCGAGAAGCCGGAAAGGCCGGTGGCCACTGCGGCCAGTCGGTTTAACCGAAAGGTGGCTTCCTGAGCCTCCATTTGCGCGCCTGGGCCCAGCGCCGAGGTCGCACCGTGGGGGCGGGGCGGGGCAGGGCGGGGCCTGCGCGCGCAGCCGCCCTAGCGAGCCTCGCCTGGGCAGGGGGCGGGGCGCCTATATTACGTGCGCGGCGCCGCCCCTGCGAGAGGACGTTGCGTGCTCGCTCGCGCCAGGCGAGTCTCCGCGTCTTGCCTCGCGAACTCGGTGAAAGGAATTGGCGCCGTTCGACACCAGGCGGGTCCGCTCTGCAGCACTCAGCCATCTCCAGCCGCAGCCGCCGCCCGGGCCGACCAGCAGCCGCCGCCACAGGCCGAGGGAGCCAGCAGTCTGCGGTGAACCGGGGCCCTCACCATGAGTTCTTCGCCTGTTAATGTCAAGAAGCTGAAGGTGTCGGAGCTGAAGGAGGAGCTCAAGAAGCGGCGCCTCTCCGACAAGGGCCTCAAGGCCGATCTCATGGATCGACTCCAGGCCGCGCTGGACAACGAAGCAGGCGGCCGCCCCGCCATGGAGCCCGGGAACGGCAGCCTCGACCTGGGTGGCGATGCGGCCGGGCGCTCGGGAGCAGGCCTCGAGCAGGAGGCCGCGACCGGCGCCGAAGACGACGAGGAGGAGGAGGGCATCGCCGCCCTGGACGGCGACCAGATGGAGCTGGGCGAGGAGAACGGGGCGGCGGGGGCGGCTGACGCGGGAGCCATGGAGGAGGAGGAGGCGGCGTCGGAAGACGAGAACGGCGACGACCAGGGCTTCCAGGAGGGGGAGGACGAGCTCGGCGACGAGGAGGAGGTCGCGGGCGACGAGAACGGCCACGGGGAGCAGCAGTCCCAACCGCCGGCGGCGGCGGCCCAGCAGACCGCCCAGCAGCGCGGGGCCGGCAAGGAGGCCGCGGGGAAGAGCAGCGGCCCCACCTCGCTCTTCGCGGTGACGGTGGCGCCGCCCGGGGCGAGGCAGGGCCAACCACAGGCGGGAGGTAAGAAGGCGGAAGGCGGCGGGTGAGTGCTGCGTTGTGGGTGCGCGCGGCTCTAGGCCCGCGTGGGGACCGTGCCCCAGGCCTGCCGGGGCCCCCGGGGGCGAGCGCCGCGGGAGGGGAGGCGGGGGGACCGGGGGCCGCCGAGAGGATCGGCTCGCCATGCCGGCGGCGCCTCCATTATGTATGTCGGGCGCCGGGGGGAGCTGCAGCTGCCGCGGTGGGGGGGAGGAGCCGGGGCGGGCGGGCGGGAGCGCCGGCCGCTGGAGCGCTGCGTGCGCGCGGTTCGGGCACATGTCTGGGGGGG